TAGTAAGAATCAAGTGTACTTCGGTTAACGAAAGGAGGGAGAAGAATAGCGGCTGGAACATAGAGATTCCTGATTGGTTGAGCCGAGCCTAGCCTTTACCCCCGCTACCGGTGTGACGTACAGGCTGGAAGCACTATACCAATCGGAACGCTGGCTATGCGAGGCACCGTCCAAAGACCACAGGGAGGGAATACCCACTATCGCTGCCCGCACGCCCCAAACACAGTCACAGTCGCAACCGGTCGCAACGCCTGTGTGTATGGCGATGGCGGCCCTGGGAAAAGGGCCAGCTCTGAACACAAGATCACAGCTATTTCCTTCTACTCGCTAAGACTAGTAAGTCCATTTTTGTCAAGCCATCGGCATAATCCAAGCAATGAGCTTCGAGGAAGTGCATTAGAGTACATCTCGAAGGGTTTTCCTCTCGCGCTCACGTGCACGCCTGGGGGGCTGGGCTGGGCTAGGGCGGGCCACCGGCTCCACACAGCTGCTCGGCGGGTTTGCCCACCCAACTCATTGCAGGCGCTACCATTCGAGTAACCTACGTCGTACTTCGGCATGGATCCTCCTACTCAGCTGAAATGAGCCACCGGCAAGTTTCTTCGCGCCCCCTCGGAAAAACGTTCATACGTCATAGATCTCTGGGCCGAAGGCGCGACCAGTGTGGGACGGGTTGTATCACTGCAGTGACTATACACAGTCCGCCTTATCTCATGTACTCGAGCCGCCTCAGGGCGACGGCGAGTCTCAGTAGTATGGCGTCGCGATAGAGGTTAAGGCAACGCGAGTCCCTGAACAACTCCACGCTCCTCGGGTGTGTATTCGCAACAGGGCACATAATTGGGAAATAAATGGGAGTGAGATGGCAATAAAAAGAACAGCGCAATATGCCGCCCGACTGGTGCAGCCCACGTTGTAGATACACTAGGTGGCTGATTAACACCACGCACTTCTGTAGTTAGAATGTACCGCACGCACGAGTGCGGGCGGGTTGCCTATCGCCC